GCTAAGAACCGCTGAATATAACAAATAACCTTGTAAGTTAAATGACAAGAGGCAATTGGTAAGCTTTGAAACCTTCCAAAATTAAAACATGAAGAGGTGCAAAAGGTGTAAGTAAGGAGAGCAGAAAAATTTACGGATGGAAACATTTATAGCATTGGGTTGGAGATTTGATGGGAGCGCCTCTATGTGAATGCGTAGCAAAAAAATAAGTTTCGCACCATGCGGATAAGCTGCGGTGATAGCAATAGCTTTTGAGAAGGCACTGGCGCCCATGCATAGCAACATATCGCTATTTGCATTGAGCTTGCTCCCGCCTTGGGTGCCGCGGAATTGCTGCCTGTCAGCATCGCTACTATTCTTGCCACCGCAGACGCCATAGTCGTCCCTAACCGTCTTTGTGAGTCGAGTGCGTCGACCCCAAGAGAGCAGTGCGCCCTTGATGTTCTCGTACAGCACAAAGTTTAACGCCGTCTCTATAGACCCTACGTAGGAGGCGCTGATGCCTCGATAGAACCCACGCATTCCATACTCACGCCAGGTGGTGCGAATTACACTCGCCGCCGTCACGAATGAAGAACAAGGTCTGGAGGAAAGTTGCAAAAAAAGGATTAATTGAATGGGGTTGCTCCATTTGCCAGCAGTCTCAAAACGTACAGAAGTGTTTATGGCTCTCAAAATAAGCAAGCTAAAGAATTTTGAAGGTAAAACACATAACAAGGCACGAGCTTAGGGGTTAATAAAAGCAAATAGCGTGAAAACAGGTGGTAGAATGCAGGCGTACCTGGAGTCAAGCTGGAGTCGTGTTTTGACATACCAGATGGGGTTTGTGAGGGTGGACGCTGTGATACCTAAAGTATGGCAATGAAGCAGTTTTCAACAAACAAGTTAAAGTGGGGCTTGAAAGCTTCAGATGATGTAGAGTACTCATCGCTTCATGCGCAAAATTGCGGGAGTGTTCGGGTTTAGTCACAATGGAACACGAACACCAGTCACGGAACTTTAAACGACTAGTCATAAAGTGAAGGAATGCGAGAAATGAGCATTCAATAAATGTTAACCATGGGCACTTGAGATTGAACTTGATGCATTTTCACAAGAATGCATCTACAGAGAAGTTACCAGCCGTCAAAAATGAACGGAAAAACAGTTGTGAACTCACTTCCACAACCGGCAGCTAGCATGTAAACAGCAGAATGGCCATTAGGAAAGAAACGCT